CCTAAAGATGTGGAAACAATTTCAGGTGATAGTTCTCATGAAACCCTATGGCAGCTGTATTTGAATTTTTCCTACGTATCTGATGGTTTGGCGAATATCGAAGGACACACTATTGACTCACACGGTATAGTGGTTTCACTGAAAAATATAGGTATAGGGCATACCTATCAAATACCCAGGTAGCACAGTGACCTAGGAAGACGTCATAATCACGTCGTTTTTTGGTCCAACATTCTTCCGTATTACCGAATAAAAAATTAGTACGTATTTTTTTCGTTTATTCCGCTTACATCTCACTGACGATCGCTACATGATTTCAGATACAAATATGAATAGCCAATGTTTTTCTTACATAGAGATGCGAACCGGTGATAACACCAGGATCGAACTGGATAACACCCGGAGGGACTAACTCATCAATGAATCTCACCAAGGTTAATAGAGTGAAATTATGTTATAAAACCTTATTCACGTTAGTCAAGGTCATCATCTGACGTTGCGATGGGCACTGGGACGAAATAGCGCAGGACAAAATAGCGCAGGACGAAATAGCGCGGACAAAATAGCGCAGGGACATAAAAGCGCAGGGTCATAATAGCGCAGGGACATAATAGCGCAGAGACAAAATAGCGCAGAGACGAAATAGCGCAGAGACAAAATAGCGTTTGTCAGGGCATAGACTATTTCTTCAAATACTAGATGTTTCAAAAGGAGACTACCATTACAAACGAAGTAACTTAATACTAGGTATGCCGTTGGATTGTTAAAGTAGACCTATGATTAGGTTAGTTTGTTTGCTAGGGTATGGACTCATTTTGAAACACCTTGTATTTGAAGAATGAGTCTTTACTCTAACAAACGAACAAACCTAATCATAGATCCTGCACTCCATTTTCGCGCGCAATTTTGTTCCTGATGCGCTATTTCATCTATGCGATATTATGTCCCTGCGCTAATATGACCCTGCGCTATTTTGTCTTTGCGCCATTTCGTCTCTGCGATATTATGACCCTGCGCTTTTTCGTCTCTGCGCTATTTCGTCTCTGCGCTATTTTGTCCTGCGCTCTTTTGTCCGCGCTATTTTGTCCTGCGCTATATCGTCCCAGTGCCGTTGCGATGACATGAAAGCTACGGGAAAACATCCCTAACCCCTGCCCTGAATTGAAAGATAGACATATTTTCCCGTAGTTTTTAATGTCATCGAACGTCATCTGATGACCTTGGTGACTGCAAATACCGGGTGTCAACGAATCTATTAGACCAGTCATAACCCAGTCAGCACAAAGAGGTCCTAAAGATATCTTGAAGAAATCCTTTTAGGAAATTGTGATGCCTTTTGTAACTTCTTCGAGAGATCGCCGAGAGTGCTATATCTAGGCCAAATGTCCGCCACCTAGGCTGAGCTCAGCGAGTTCTTGAAGATATCGCACGCAGAAATTCTCATACAATTCCCTCAGGCGCGCACTTTGAGATATACGCTTCCATCGCCACTGGAGATAACTGAAAGTGCTCGCAATCATGAGCTGTTTGAGAAATTCGCATACATTGCTTTGTGACGAGGACATTGGGAGATTCGCATCAATTGCTTCTGGCGAGGTCTTTAAGTGCTCGCGACTACGAGCTGTTTGAGATTTTCGCACGCATCGCCTTGTGAAGAGAACTTTGGGAAATTCGCATCAATTACTAATAGCGAACTCTTCAAGTGCTCGCAACTATGAATTGTTCAAGAATCCGTGCACATCACCTTATAACGAGGCCTTTAAGAGCGATATTTGCATCAATCGCCACATGATCGCCCCTATTATGGTAAGGTGTTTAATTCTTGAGAAGTCATTGGTTATCAGCAGTCTCCTGTCGGCGAAGTCTAACTAGCGCCAGCTATATTGTTTGGGGTGGAGTTAAATTTACTGGATATTTGTTTCAGCGAAAAAGATTGAGTTACCAAACTTAGAGTTAGATCATGAGCTTTAATATATTATTCTATAGCAAGACATTGATCAAGTAAACTTTATCACTCGAAAAAATCTCCGAGGAGTTGGCCGGGTATTCTTTAAAAAAAAGGTCGTCCGATATCTACCCACGAATTTGAGGTAGATATTTGATTCTTGATCCCACCTGAATTGGAACATTTTTGTGTTTTTCGTCAGAGCAGATAATTAATTATCATTAATTCACTGCAAAATTTGAAATAATCTTACATAATGGCGGAGAGATAATAATATGACCTGTTGAACACATTCTCTGAGACAGTAAGAAAATCTAGTATCTAGTATATACAATTATTATTATCATAGATTAATGACTCCCATTTCATGTTAATACTGGGTGTCCCAAGTTATCGTAAAGGTACCGGCAAAAATTTGCTTACTCGACAAGATGAACGAAAAATAGTAAAAATGCTTCAAATAACATCAGAGAACTTTCTTTATGACTAAAAAAAAAGTGTATTAGATTGGACATCAGCCACCTGGTAGCAACTCCTCAATTTTCATTTAATGGACTCCCTGTATATTGTCATTGAAAATTGCCAATCATCCTATTTCGGGAATGAACGATAGCACATCGGTACTTTGTATTTTGTTCATTAATAACAACATTAACAATAAAAATTTTTGACCTCATTTACGTTACATCGATTGAAAATTGCCTCCTCCCATGTTCGTAAAAATGTCCCACAATGAAATTAGATTAATTATTACACTAGGTAGGTACCGTCTGCAATGATTGATGTTCTGCAGGTCAAAATGGAATATCTGTCATTAATATTTTGAAACAAAAATGCAATCCATACTTCTTATTTGTGAACTTCTTGAACACATGGGTGAAAGCAATTTGTCATTTGAGTAACGAAAAAAGTCACAAAATGTTCATGTTTTTATTGTTATCAAGAACAAAACACCAAGTATGTGCTATATCGTTGTATTCCAAATAGATTGACACGCAATTTTCAGATACTAATATGCTACAAGAAAATAAAAACTGATCAGTATCTACCATCCGGGGCTGCCAAATATATCACATTCTTCATAAGCCATTAGGAAGGTTATTCAATGCCATTTAATGCAGTTTTTTAATGCTTTTGATATCTTGACAAATAGGCGAGATATATTGCCTGTAAACGATAACTTGGGACACCCAGTATTTGAATTATAAAGGCTATCGAAAAAAACAACTCAATATTTTTGTAAGAATATTCATTAATTATTCAGGTTATGTTTGTGATTACTTTAGGAGCTCGCAATGGGAAATTCTCGATCTTGTTACGTCCAGGATATCCTTGGGTGCTCGCAGAAAGAAATGCCTATTCATTTCCTGTTATTGATAACCTCAAGGATTCGCAATAATGAGGAATATATCAAATCTGAGGCGAGATCTCCGCGATTTCTTTCGGACGACTCCAGAGAGTATTTCCCATGGTGAGAGCCTATAGTGATCTTTGACACCTCGCCGGAGGATTTCGCATTTTGATCCTGAAGATAACTACTTAGAGATATTGCGGAGAGATCCGTGTTACCTGGGAACTTCTAGACCATTAGGTGTATCAAAATGAGATTTGATATAGGTGAATGGTGTGTGAAGAGGAGAGTTTTCACATATTTTTCACTTTCCGGTCACTTCTGGTTTCACTGGAAATGGCTCCGGTTCTAAATTTTTATACGGAACACCCTGTATATCGTAACATTTTTGGATTCCTGAGACAATTCTAGATCAGGATGTGACATTTTTGAAAGTTCTCATGCCTTCTAAATTTTTTCGGAGTCATTTTTGAAATTACATCTAGGTGTCCATGATCGGAAGTAAACTGATCTAAGGACCTCAGGTGATATCAGAAAATTACAATCGAGAAGTTTTAGTGACAAGTATAATAAATATGAATTAAACAAGTTGGCTGAATTACATTTTCGTGTCTAACTATTATTTTTCAAATGGCGACCATTTTTTGACAAGCACTTTCCGAAAAAAGGATATTTTGAAGAATCTAACGATACTAATTTATTTGCGATTGGATTACAAATAAGAACATAAATTAAATATTACTGACGAAAATACTTCATAACAATTTATTTACTTTTGTCAAGTGTGCCGAGGATAGGCATGATGCATAATATTTTACAGTTATTTCGATCAAGTGTTCTTGTTAATTTTGTTAAATTCGTTGATCCAATCGCGAATAAATTAGTATCGTTAGATTCGTCAAAATATCCTTTTTTCGGAAAGTGCTTGTCAAAAAATGGTAGCCATTTGAAAAATAATAGTTAGATACAGAAATGTAATTTTGTCAACTTGTCTCATTCATATATATCAAACTTCGTCGCGATTGTAGTTTTCTGATATCACCTGAGGTCATTGGATTAGTTTACTTCAAATCATGGCCACCTAGATGTAATTTCAAAAGTGACCTCGAAAAAATTAAGTAGGCATAGAAACTCTCGAAGATGTCACATTCTGATCTAGAATTGTCTCAGAAATCCAAAAATGTTACAATATACAGGGTGTTCCATTTAAAAATTTAGAACCGTAGCCATTTTCGGTGAAACAAGAAGTGACCGGAAAGTGAAAAATATGTGAAAACTCTCCACTTCACATACCATTTACCTATACCAAATCTCATTTTGATACACTCAATGGTCTAGAAGTTATGACTTGTCTAATAGATTCGTTGACACCCGGTTTATGCCCTTAAATGTTCTCAATATAGTCCTCCATAGGTCAGTCTGACGTCTTATGGCTCTGACATTTTGACTACTCTTCGAGGTCCTCAAGATGTCATTTTTTTTCGCCAATTGGTCAATTTTTCAATCAAATAAGGAACGTCCAACAACAAAACGAAGTGACTACAATATGTAGTAGGTTGTCACGTATGTACATGGATGTCATAATATTTTCATATGCACAAAATGCTGATAGGCACTGAATTATTATTTGTATCGAAGAATTTTAGTATGAGACTGAACGCATCAAATATTGCGAGCGATCCCGGATAGCAAAACTTAACATACCTATATATATATTCATACTAGATTCATCGACAGATTCATCGAGTACTTCTTTGCAACCTGAAAATCACTAAATGCACTAAATTGCACTAATTCGAAAGCATAATTGACCCCATTAGGCATTCTACATTGCATAAACTGAAACCGATCAGTGTAAAACTAAGTTGATGAAGTCAATAGAAGGAAACTTCCTCATTTTTTGAAAACGTCTAAATCATCTGATACAATACGAACGTATAAGCAGCTTGGGTCATCTGAAAAAAACAAATATATCAAAACAAAGTGAGCACTACAATCCAGATTGTATATTATACTAACGCTCACTAACAGATCATTGTCGATCACTCGAAAATTGCCGATACTGAGTACAAATGGTCTTTGCACTCTGGACATCACAATCAAAAGACTCTTCGTCACTTCAGAAGTTTGGTCATACCAATTGCCCTTGTATATTCTCATGCCCAAATTTGTGCTCTGAAAATGCGAAAACAATTGAGTTGAGGTCATATTCATGCATAGTTTCGCATTCTGCATCCTCCACTGAATGAGAGCAGTATGCTTTTTGGTGTGAAAACTAGGAGTGTTGGATTGGTTGCTTACACTTTTAACTCAATTTATCTTAATTTGATTCAACTTATGAATTATACTTAAGAAAAAATGTCTAGTTCATGTTACACATAAGTTAGTTCCCAATACGCATGCGCAGATCTTCAAATTGACATTGATAGAATTACACTGACATTCTATCACTTGTCAATTCACCATTGTTTCATTTGTTTCGTTTTCATAAGATACTGAGAATAGATGAAACACATCGAATTTTTACCAGATACACCCAGAACACCTCCTATGGTTGTCAGCTCAGGAATCATCAATGATAGACTATACGGCTTTCGCCACCGAAGATCTACTGGAGATCTACTTGCCTACGTCACCCATTTATGGCAATCTTCAATAGAAAAACACGGGGAATCTCTAGCTGTCGCGTTGGACATATCGAAAGCATTCGATCGTGTTTGGCACGAAGGACTCCTCCACAAACTACCATCATACGGCCTACCACCTCAGCTATGCGATCTCTTATCGAGTTTTCTTTCAGGCAGATCGCTTCACGTGGTGGTGGACGGTGTATCGTCTGATACCATTAGCATCAATTCCGGCGTTCCACAAGGATCAATTTTGGCACCAACATTATTCCTGCTTCATATTAATGATCTGTTGGGAGTAACAACTTGCCCCATCCACAGCTTTGCAGATGATAGTACCCTCCATACTGCGTTCTCTTCCAGAATCCTCATTTCTTCCCAGGAAACTAAGAACTCACGGCGCAGGCAGGTCAATGCTGTCAATGAAGATCTCGCTGAAATCACAGCCTGGGGAACAAACAACCTAGTTGAATTCAACGCCACCAGAACTCGAGCCTGCATTTTCTCTAGAAAGGCGGAACTCAGTATGCCCGATATTTTAATGTCTGGCTCCACCATCCCCACCAAGCCCACCATATCTATGCTCGATATTTCCATCAGCAACACTCTTTCATGGGATAATCATGTCAGATCCATCGCAAAAGCTGCTTCACAAAAACTCGGATTCTTGTTCCGTGCGAAAAGCTACTTTACACCCCAACAGCTTCTTATGATCTACAAAGCGCAGATACGGCCTGTTCTAGAATACTGTTCCCACATATGGGGTTCAGCACCAAAACATACGCTGATGCTCTTAGATTCCATCCAGAGAAGAGCCATCCGCCTGGTGGGTGACGCCACACTCACTCACTCTTTGTCATCATTCCTAGAGGGATAGGGACAGGAGGTAGGTATTGGAATTTTTTTTGAACTTTTGGAGATCATATGTTGTTGGGAATACTTCCACAGGCAATGAATTCCAGAGCCTAGCCGTTCTATGGATGAAGGAGTCTTGATAAAGTGCTGTTCGACATCTTTCGAGGTTGACAACGAAAGGATGTGCTGACTGGGCTTGTCTAGTTCGTCTGATTGGTATTGCTAGTGGAGGGATGATAGCAGAGATTTCCGAAGAACATTTCCCGTGGAAGTATCGATAGAAAAGTGAAAGGTCGCCGACCTTTCTACGGTGTTCCAATGAAATGTCTCGAGGGTCGAAATTTTCACGCTTATTCCAATACAGCCCAGTATATAAAAAAATGTGGTTATAAAGCATTTACCTTTAGCTTTTTTCACCTTAGCAGGCTTAGATTCGATGAAAATCTGAATAATGAATGAAAATAGTGAGAAGACAATTCAGATAAAACAAAAACCGCCATTCTCATATCCCCGTACATGTTTCTTTGGAAGCACACATCACTACCATCACAAATAATTCACACAAACGGCATTTTTAAAAAACAACGCCATTTAATCGACGAGAAATTTCACATAACGTCCACGATATGACTGAACAAATATAGAAATAGAAACTTGATAGTCAGCGGGAAACCTGATAACAGCTTCCTATCTTCCAATTAAACGTTGATAATGCATGTTTAGCGGACAAAAAATATGTTTTCAACAATATATGAACCACCACGAGGAAAAATATAATATACAGGACGATTAAAAACCTGAATCAGATGAAATATTTGAGAGACGTATGACTTTACATTATAACAATGCATAGGTTCTCGACTGCGATATCTGAGAACAATATGGTTACCGACGATCTGTGACAGATCCATCAATCAACCATTGAAAATATAAATAGTACTCCTAAGGATTAGCACGCAAATACATTGATATGCGCAGAGTTTCAATGTAGATAGATGACACTTGATAGATACCACTTAACACATGAGGCGTTTTGCAGATGATGTATAATTAAGAGGAGACATATTACGCATGCGTCAAAACGTGACGAAAACATCACAAAAACAGGCGTACCATTCTAACCAAATGAAATATGAACAACATAAACCAATTATGAATTGTGATCTCTGAACTTCATCAAAATAGAATAATCACAAGGCGACATTCTCTTCAAACCGATATAAAGATTCCCCATGCTCATTATAAATAACAATCGAATCCAAACAGCATATATGACACAAAGTTCTATCACGAACGTTGCTTCACAGAAACTGGGATTTTCATTCCAGACAAGAAACTTCTCTACAAAATACAGATACGACCTGTTTGAGAATACTGTTCCTTATATGGGTTCAGCACTCACACATTATAGAGACAAGCCATACCAGAGAGACAAGCCATGCGCCTGGTGAGCGATGCCACACTCACTAATTCTTAGAAAACATCTGAACATCATAAATGAAAACTCATAAAACGACTAAGTTCATCATAGGAAGTGTTTCTAAGATTTCCAAATGCGGAATCTCAGCCAATTTCATTGATATAAAATGATCACAGGGCACCATTTATTTTCACCCAAAATAAAGATACTATATGAAGATTCTGAACAAGTATTGGAATCAATCAGTATACTACGACACCCAGATCCATCACGAAAGTTTCAACGAAAAAACTATGATTTTTATTTCACGCGAAAAGCTACTATACAAGATACAGATATGATATTTTTCAGAGTACTGTTCCTACATATTATGGGGTTCAACATCCATACATACTCTGATGCTCCTATATAGATTTCATTCAGAGATACAGCCCATTCGCCTGATTGGTGTTTCTACACTCACTGATTCTCAAACAACATTGTAACATCACCGAAAAGACATCGACCTTCCACTTTTCTACAGATACACAGAAAATAATTTTCAGAGATTCCTACTATCATTCCATCGCTAGCAATACCAGTCAGACGCACTCAACAAATTCAGAAAACGCATTCTGTTGTCACCAATCTTGAATATGTCGAGCAACTCTTTACCAAAACTCATTAAAGGACTGAGTTTACTATAGGAAGTGTTTCTTAGATCTTGAAAAGTTTAAAATTCAATACCTCTATACCTCCTGTTGTAGCCTGTGCATGATTTTTCTCGAATATAATACGTATTTGCTTTGGTGCGCTTCAAGAGATAAATAATAATGATAATCTGACGCATATTGTAGCACCAAACATTCAAACAACGTATACCAATAATTATGAATTAACTTCTAAGACGAAAATATTTGGAAAATCATCTCTCTTTTATTCCCTAGGTACCCACGATGTTCCCCGAATATTATAGGGATTCCCTTTCGTACGCTCGAAGAAATAAAAAAATGGTGGCCGTATCTCTTTTTTTTTCTCATCTTTTGTTTGCCTGAAACTTCACTCAGACCTTTTGACAGTGTGAAAACACCTATCAAAATCACAATGGAATTTGTATTCAAGCAAGCATTAAGCTGTATAAAAATACGACAATAAGGCTGGTGAAATGCATTTTGGAAATTTATTGTGATATTTTATTCAGTTCTTTGTTTCCAGTTTCGAGTAGAATAAAATAAATGGTAAGTTTCTCGAAAAGCAATATTTTTAATATACTCTGAATGTGCCAAAGCAGTTATTCACTCTATTGTGTTCATTAATACATGTAGTTTCAGGAATGAAAGGCAGAGATCGAAAATTTCAATTTGAAGGGTGTCCTTTTCCTAAGAGATCCCAGATTGAAATTCTCCAAGTCCGGGACTAGAATTTGGCTACATTCGGTATCTCAGAAAATTGACTCTGATAAGTAGACTGAATGTATAACATTCCGGGTGAATTGATCGAACTATTGAAAAAATGAGGTGAATCTATCATGGCCTCAAAGTTATACAACCCTGTATCTTGGTGAATACGTCAAATGAACCAATTTATATATCCATTCATTCATGGCCGAGGAATGTACTATCTACACCATTAGTATGTACAGTGACTCGTGAATCACCCTGTATATCTCTGGAATAGTTATGTGCTGAATTATGGATCATTTGGTGCAGCAGTGATAGAACTTATGAATAGAATGTATAAAAACATGAGTTTCAAGTGAGTTGAAACATTTTGGTGATGAAACACGAAATATCTGGAATGTATCAACGATGAAGCTGCTGTATGTGTTGGTTATAGTTACCTTCAAAAATAACTCATTGACATGATAGTAAATCACAAAAACTTGAACAACTACCGATAACATAAAGGGAATGTAATAAATTAAATCTCTCCAATTGGTTGCTTCAAGCACCTGAAATAAGATAACAAGAATTCATTAGTCGAACTTTTTTTGAAATGTCGAACTTACGTTCGAGAGCGTCACTGTTATATGATAAGATTTGACCACAAATTCTCCAAGGAAGTACCATTTCAAGGCATCATTGACTCTTCCAACGTATCTAGAATTGAAAGAGTTATTCAATAAATACTCAAGTGGTTATATATTTTCAGGAGTCTAGTGTGTCAAGCATGATTTTATTCGTACCCAAACAGCACAGAATATCCTTTGAATATTCTGACAACGTTCAAATATTCTCATTTTGGAATATTCTGATACAATGTTCCCAGAATGATCATAGAATATTCTCATTCTGCAACGAATATTCTTTGAACATTCAACTCGACATTTTCTCAGAATATTCTTTTAGAATATTCTGAGAATATTATCTTTGAATATTCTTAGAATAATCAGAATCGTATCAAAATATATGATATTGATGTTGCTATTCTTGTATAGATATTCAAAATGTTCACTCTGAACAACCTTTAATTATCTAGCCTCAATGCTGATTATCTCACAGTGAAACAGTCCGAATGTTCATAGAACGTCCTCAGAATATTTGTATCATATTGTGAGAATATTTTGAGAAAATTCAAATATTCTCGAAGAATATTCTATGAACGTTCTATGGATGACATTGTGCTATCTGGGTAGATACTGACTTATACGAAAATAATGATATAATTTTTATTGAAAATTTCAAAGAAAATTCCACAAAAGTAATTTTTAATCAATCAAATTTGGGTTTTTGACGAATCACCATAGCAACGTATATATGTATTTCAGTATGGAATTTTGTTTCTCTTAAGTACCCAACAGCGGAAAAATATGATGTTTTTCTGACGTTGACGTCAATCACGAAATAATATAAAAGATATCTCACACTTGAATAGTAACTACAAAACTCCTAATATTTATATCTTACGACTAGAATGTGTATTCAATATGGCGGACGATCAAATCATGCCGATGATGCTACCGTCATTGTGCATGGCTTCTCCAAGTCCAGACGTCCATTGATGAATTTGAAGCATGGTGTAGATGTGATCATTTGATGAACAACTTGGATAACACAATGTTGATGATGATGATAATGATGATGATAATTTATTTTATATAAAATTACAAGAATTTCACACTCGTCACAGATACACTTTACAATCGAAACTACAGGCACTACAAAAATATAAAATATCAAATATAAAACATGAAACACGAGAATGAATCCATGGTTCAAATATCAACATCGAACTGGCATGTACAGGAGGGCATGTGGAGGAGAAACTCATCAACTGAATAAAAACAATGTTACATCAGTACTTATATCACGTATTTTTTTCTTAAATACTGAATAAGTTGGACCTCTATAGCTGTGTGGTAGGTTCATTCAATTCTCAAACGAATACTATCTCCAACTTCATCTTTTGATCCGCGATTAGAATTATCAGACTGTACAAAATTCCTTGGAACACAACTGGATTGTGAATTATCTTTCAACGAACATATTGAATACCTAGCAACTACAGACCGATCGCACTGCTATCTATCATTTCAAAGATCATGGAGAAAGCTATCAACATTGAACTCATGAAATACCTGGAACATTCAGGTTTTATCAAAGATAGGCAATATGGCTTCCGTCATCAGAGATAAACTGGTGACCTGCTCGCTTACGTCTTACATATATGGCAGCAATCTATTGAAAAATATGGTGAAACCTCAGCCGTGGCACTTATTGATATCTCCAAGGCATTTGTTACAACCACAAAATGAATCATAGTTCTGTAGGGCAAATTTCTGGTTCTATATCAAGATAAACAATGAAAAATTGAAAAAGATTAGGTACTCACAGTTTATTCAAGAATTCCTCACAAAGATTCAGCGCACCACATCACTGTATCACCTTGAAAAATACACACACACTGAAACGAGAGAAGCTGGTAGTCGATTGATTATCCTTCTATTTTCTATAATTCGGTCAGCTGCTCTCATAGTCAGGATCTAGTGATGATCAACATCTTTGTCAGAGGAAGCTCACTAGTTTTCCTTGGAGATCATCACAGTATATTCACGTGAAAATCCTCGCTTTCCTTGGTTACTTTCTCCGATGCAGATGTTTTGAATCGAACCTGAAAATGAAGCAAGAGCTGTATCGAGGGACAAAATAATACTCACCACATCATCGGTCGTTTCCAGTCATCTCGAAATCGTAGTATGATTAATCGACTAGGTAATTTCAAACATTTGATATTGTTTTGATCCGCTGAGAAATTAGGTTAGGTTGATGACGGCTCGGTTGACGGACTGTCCTGCTCGACGCATGACGTCTGACAGGCAATCGATACATTATTATGCCGACTGGACATTTGACCGAACACTTGAAGTTGGCCATTGACCGCTGAGAGTACGAGCAATATCATTGACGAGCGCTGGAACTACTCTAGTCAGTAGCGGTACAGAGGGATTGATTGTCGGACTCTTTGATTTCTTGATTATGGGGCCCTTCTAAAAATTATTTAAATGTATTTTTGGAAGTATGGAGATATAGTTTCAAAGCATTACGTGGAATTCATCCTGGGGCAATACATTTTGGCAACCTTTCCCCTATACTACTTCTATGTCCTTCAGAACTTTCTGGATGGTTTCGAGCTCCTTTCCACTCCGAGGTACTAACAGGTGCTACCACAGGTGGGACTTACTTCAAAAAATGGTGCGTGCTGTGTGATATCACTCGAGAATTTCAAAGCAATTCTTTTGAAGGAATTGGAGCTCGTGAGATATATTATAAGGTGTTGAGTATTGTTGAAGAGTTCGGCGTTGAGTGTTCAGCCGATACGTTCAAGTATTCTCGCACCAACGCCTAGTGCGGATTCAACTTGCAGACCGGCCATTTTTTTTTGTGTAGCGTTCCCAGTTCCAGCCCTGTCGAATAGACAGCATCTTCAAAGCCTCCCACCATCCACGTAAGTAATATCCTTGTAATGTCTTAGAGAGTTGTGGGATTTGCTATTCCCAATGTCATCTTCATTGATAGGGCTTTCACCTTCGGGTTTGACCTTCCACCTGGGATATTCGTTTTTCCCCTATATGGAGTCCTCCTGCTGGACACCACTGTCACCTTTGATTCCTGCATGGCTGATTGGGATATCATCAAAGGTGTGTTGGACTTCCGACCCGAGTTCCAACTCAAGTGGATATTCATCATGCTTGAGAAACAGCCCCTACTGCACGAGATACCAGCTGCCAGGGTTGAGGCTGCTAAATGACAATGGCCTATCCAGGACACCTTGCCCACCACTTCTTCCTGAATGGGACCTGAAGCGAGGCCTAAAGCAACCAGCTAAGTGGCCCTATTGTTAATTTTCTTTTCTTTTTCCTATGACTTTATCATCATTATTTCCTTTCGCGCTGAACGGTATATTCCACTGGAGATTGTTAAATGAGCAAACCCATGTTACCTAAGTGTTAAGGTCACCTATTTGCGGTATCAATATGATTGAAGGGTTAATTTTGTAGGCCCAAGAGAGATCTTCCTTGCGCACAGGTTAACATTCCCTGGTCAATTTTTGTTTGGAATTATATTCAAGATTTGTCCTCGATAGTTGCAAATATAAAAGGGTAATTGTTATGAGTAGGTTATATGGGAAAAATACTTCACTGATACCATTGTACTGATATCGTATTATGTTCAAAACTGCATTGCTAAATCCCTAATCGAACCATTAAATATTTAGGTTCAGCCGAATTGTTGTTTTATTGGGGGACCCAAGAGCTATCAAACAGAGAACCCACGAAGCTAGTCAGGCCGTGTGCTAATAATTCTCTAGTCCACGTTAAATACATTTCTTGTTGGATTCCTTGGTAAGATTTTGAACAGAGGTCTGTGTAATAAAATCAGAACCCACCATTTTTGAGTAAAGTACCACCATTTTCAAGTAAAGTACCTACATCTGTAGTCGTTTAGGGGTCATAAAATCCCAGCTTATTCCCGTTGGGAAAAATATGCTAACACATTCGATCGAGTCTGGCACCACGGATTCCTCGCCAAGCTTCCATCTTATGGCTTGCCTCCCCAGCTATGTTCTCTGCCAGCTAGTTTTCTCTCAAACAGGTCTCTCCATGTAGTGGACGACGGAGTTCAATCTGACTCTCTTATCATGAATGTGGTGTTCTCAAGGATCAATTCTAGCATCAACACTATTTCTACTTCACATAAACGATTTGTTGAAAGCAACTTCATGTCCAGTACACAGCTTCGCGGATGATAGTACCCTCCGAACCGCCTCGTCTTTCAGGGATCCAATACGAGCCAGGCAAATCAGAAACGAATGCGGAAGAAATGTTGACAACATAAATATGGACTTGGCAACAATTCTCGAATGGGGATTCAATAACTCAGTATATTTCAATGCAAACAAAACACAAGCATGCCTTTTCTCTAGTAAAGCCGATTTCACTGAGCCCAACATAAGCTGGTCAGGAGTAACCATACCTTTGAAGACATCCATTTCGATGCTTTGGTATTACTATCAGCAATAACCTTTCTTGGGAATATCACGTGAGATCAATTGCTAAAAGTGCATCCCGAAAACTTGGTTTTCTGTTTGGGGCCAGGAGCTATTTCACTTCCAGTCAGCTGCTTATGATCTATAAGACACAGATCCGACCTGTCCTGGAATACTGTTCCCATATCTGGAGTGCATCACCCAAACATACCCTGAAATTGTTGGATTCTGACCAAAAAAGGGCATTTCGTCTCGTGGGTGATGCTTCGCTCACAAACTCACTCACTTCTCTGGAACACCTTAAAAAAGTTTGCGATCTGGCTCGATTTTATGAATATTTTCATGGACGATACTCTTCTGAAATATCAACAATTGTTCTTCCCTTGGCAGTCCCCGCGAGATTAGCCCGTCGAGTTGAGGCTTCGCACTCCTTCGTGGTCACTTTGGAGACCTGCAGAACATTTCTTTCCAAAGACTCGTTAATTCAACGAACGGCGAGGCTCTGGAACGCATTGCCAAGGGAGGTGGTCCTTAGAGCATGTTACCTCCAGAAATTCATGAAGAACACTAATTCCTACCTTATTTCAATTGGTTCTCATGATTTGTCTCTGAA